TTATATGTAATATTATATATGCACGAGTCAATGTTACTTTCATTTTTTTATGTGTAATATATATATAGTATGTACACAAGCCAATGTTACAAAGTCAAATTCATTTAGATAATTGTGCCACTATTTTTATCAAACTACTGTAGTAGTTAGCTATTGGAAAATTGAATATTTCGGTCAGGAATTATATATATTTCACGTGATTCAGCATAACAAAGATTATCAGACCGCATCGATTGGGTCAGAAATGATCATTTATCACGTGATCGAGAAATTTTTCTGCCACGACTAGTCTACTACAAAATAATTGATCAATGTAATAATTTAATCAAATAATAAGGATGGCTTAGCCATTTTTTAAATCCACATGATATGCTATCACCTGTGATTTGAGAAACTATTCAGCGTCATGAAAGTGCCAGGGAAGTGTCGTAGAACTGTCGAGAAACTGGCAGGGATCTAGGATGATACATGTAATATGATTACGTCATGCTACAAACTGATTTAGCCAGATGCCCGTGCATATGCATATAAATATAAAATTAGCTTAGCCCGAAATAAGATCCTATATAAATCCCAATATGCCTGTAATCGAATAAAAAAATGAATTTGAGTTTAGCATACGCAGTCTCACAAATAGGCTACAAACCAATTAACTACTAATCAGTAAATCCGTATAAATTTGAATGGTGATATTATCTAGTATAAGTTGCTAAAGAATTGTCAGAATTTGTTAAAAATACTATAAAACTCTGAAATTACTATAAATCTCTAATTTACTAATAAATAGTTATACTAGCGTAGCTATGCCTGGTGACATGGTTAAAATCATTATAGATAGAATTTATAATAAAATTGTACCTAAACCTATCAATCTTCATCCTGGATATGATATGGAATATGTTTTTAACTATTGACCTCAAACTGATAACTATCGATATGAAAGAGTGGTTGAAATAGAAAAACAATATGATTATTTATCTATTATTAGACCTCATGAAACTCCCCAACAATGAGCTAATCGTGTAAGAGGTTCTCTGCAAGAACTACTTTCTAAGCAAGAATATAGTTTATATCATGTGTACTATCTCTTCACTTCCTTTGGGCAAGTAAAATTCACAACATATTATGTTAATAGTGTTTTATATGGTACTCCCTTTGAATATCGTAGACCTAGTGTTCATAAAAGTCAGATGGCTATCTGCTTTAAATACTGGAAATTGGTAAAGATTACTGAAGTAGAGCCTAAAAAGGAATATTATAGTGGCTGGGGAAGATGGGGCTATGAAGTTGAGTCTGAAGATTTGATGAAAAATCATTGGAATTACTCTTGCTTCAAGGCCGAGACTACAACTATGGCAGAAAATACTATATCAAGTGCTATAGGCAAATTATTTATATCGTCTCTGTATGTAAAACAGCCAAAAGGCACTGTGTTGAGATTGGGGGATGGGACAGAAATTACAATAGTTTAACTAACTGATTCTGACTATTGCTTTTAGCTGAAGGTTAATATCATATATTATACTTTATTTTTTTTTGCGTAATGAATAGCTATATAATCTGCATGCATGATCGCCTAGTATAATTGGCCAAAGGCGCTATGCATGAAGAAAAACCTGATTTGCCTATTCCAGGATTGATCCTCCAATATATTGTATAACTATTTTAGTGAACTATCTATGAAGCGGTCTTGGGGATTCTTGATTGCGAGACAATATAACTATCAGTTTAAGAATTTCTATGCAGTAGTTATCCAGCGAGCTTACAGGAATTACAAGAAGAGACCTGAATCTTTGGCAAAACAGGTTTGGGAGATAGTAAGGAATGATGGTACTCCTGATGATATGAAGTGCTTAAGGAAAATTCCTATTCATGAATATTGGGGTTTTGGATCGAATGATTTTGAGTTGATATCGGAAAGAGGAGTCCAGTTACGTTTAAGATTAATAAATATAACATTCATACTCGCTTTGAAATTATTATATCAGCAAGGCTATATAATCGTTAGAGATTCAATATGGGAAATGGAATGGACTGATATGTTAAAATGGACAAAAAATCCTGAATATTATCATATTGATAGAAAATCAAACTTGAAAAATTTTATTAGAATTCCAGAATATAAGAAATATATGAATAAAAGGAGAGTTGGGTATATTGCGTATGACTCGCTAACAAATAATTTTAAAATCCATGCTCTTACCCAGCTGTATAATCCGATTACTGTAGATTTATCAGATTGGGATAATAATTCTGAATTAGTGCGTCAAATTTTCCAGATCAGTCCTTGACCCAGATCCCGAATATTATCTTAATAGCATGTAGGCATGTGCGACATAAATTAGCACGTTTTCGATCCTCGCCTCCAATTTTTTTCGGAAAATGACTTTCACTAAATCATGTATTATTGCTTTTTATAACCAGTTACTTGCTAAAAAAATAAAAAAAGGCAAGTTTAATCTCCTCAGTGAAAAGCGTAGCTGTATATGATGTAATAAGTGGTACACCGCAAATCTGTGTGACTGCTTGTGCGACAAGATATAAAGCTGATTCAACTGTGTACATAATCATCCGTAAATCTCTTTCAACTACGCGATAAAATGTATATACACGAGTATTTTAATCGTAAACATACTGAGTGGAGTATTACCGGATTTCTAAATGAATGTAACGAAGAACCGTTTCGATTCAAAGTGGATATATATCTTAAAAGTCTCGTGAATATTATCAATAGTGATCAAGGGAAGAAACGTGAAAAGGCACAAGCTCTCTTTGACAAGTATAAAATGGCATGTGAAAATTTATTATTTTTTTATTGAAACTGTAGACGTGGCGTGGTGGGAATTCTTTTAGCTTCTTTACCATTCAGGTCTTTTAGTCGAGCCACAAGACCAGTGTTAGGGCACAGGCAACCTTTTAGCTTGGCTGTTGTTAAAAGTCTTTTAGTCGATCTAGCATTGGTCCCATTTGAGCACAGGCAACCTTTTAGCTTGGCTGATGTTCAGATGGATGAGAAATCAAATGAATTATTACTTCTTAATTACGAATATTGTTAATCACCCGAATATTATTACATTGCTAGGAACCTAAACCTGACCACGAATTGGCAAGGAGGTGGGAGAATGAGCGTTCGCACAAGCAGGTCCACCTCCATCAACCAACTATAAACGGGACTGTAAGTGGTCCGATAAATGGTGCATATGTAACTGGCGGAACAGTTGGAGCTGTAAGCGGAACTGGGAATATCAGCGGAGGGACTTTTGGTGTTGAATTATTCGCATCAAAAAAAAGAGATTAAGAGGTAAATATTGGGAAAGTGTAAATCAACAGAAGCAATTATTTATATTTTAATCCTTTAGGACTATTACGAGGAGTTAAAGAAAAAACGGACGAGAATGGACGGTGAGAATCTTCAACCCATCTATAACATTCAAATCCCTCCTCCACGCGTTGTCACTCCTCCCCATCCACCACGAACACCTGAACACCAAATATTTTCTTCGAGTTCCATGGTTTCTCCACCAGAAAAAAAAAACAGGTACCAGTAAATGATAAGTTACTTCTAGAATCTAGCCAACCTGAAACGTACGATCAGCTATTGTCTAAGCTCTCACCACCGATACGAAAAATGTGCCTGTCTCGAAAGGCTCAGGAAGAGGAAATGAAAGAATCAGATGAGTGGTTGTCATCTTTACAATATCTGGATGCTAATATAAATGACTTAACTATTTCTGAATCTTTTTTAGATCCCGGCAGTGAGTTTGGTGGTATAAATGATCCAGCAATCAAGGCGCTTGAATGGAAGGCTGATAAACCATCTAATTTTGCCATAAAGGGCAATTCCAAGCATATTACCGATTCATTGGGATGGTATACAGATGTGCCAGTTACCTTGAAGGATAAAGAGAATAAGACGGTCACAGTTATTGGAAATTTTGTTCGTATTGATAATGGTGAAACAGAACCAATGCTATTTTTTGGTATGTCAAATATCCGTAAGCTTCAAGGCGTCCCTGAGCCAAATAAAAACCAGTTTCGCATAAAGTTACATGGAAAGGTATATATTATCCCAACCTTTAGCAAGGCTCCAGTAGTCAAGGATCTGCCAAAAGAAGATCAAGACCAAGCATCTACCAACTCCTCTAGCCCAAATAATGAGGAAGACTTAAAAAAAAGTGCGTAAAGCTTGAAGAGCAACTATTAAAAACTGAGAGATGGCTTGACATGGCATTAAATGCAGGTAATATTCTTGCAGAAAAATGCTCTCGACTTATGGAGAATAAATCGGATGCATGACAGCTTCTCTAGTAATATTTACTAATTTATTAAGATCAGATTCTCGTCTAGATGTATCGCTCCCTTTGGGGGCATTGTCTACTTTATCTGTAGAAGAAGATTCGTCTTTTAGCTTTATACTAGCCTTTTTTTTCCGACTAACTTTATCTTTTCGCCCACTAGTTACTGGATTCAGACCATTAGAATTTGCATCATTCTCATTATCCATAGGGTATTCCGTATGAGTGATCCCGTCTTCTTGTATGATAGTAGAGGAGGAAGTATCATGTGAAGATTCCTGATTATTTTCTGAAATCTGGTCAGAGATGCTAACAGATTCTATGATTCTACGCCATTCCTCGGTAGGTTCAGGAGGCCTCTTATTATCAATTATTTTTTGATATGTTGTTGATCCTATACGATGCTTTTTACACATAATGCGCCGAGCATCTGGAATATTATTCTGAGCATTTCTAATTTCTTCGATAGCTTCAGGTGACAAACGCCGGGCATCTGATCTAAGAAATTTACGAGTATGGGTTGTTTGTTTTTTGCTCATAGTTTGCTAGTAATAAATCTGTATGATACCAATAAAAAACTTGTAAAAAATTTATTTGATATTGGTCTGGCATTGGTCTGGCATTAGTCTGGCATTAGTTTGTTACATATATGTAGTTCGCTTTCTTTACAGTGTAGCGTGCTATAATCATGATTCAAATAAAAAATAGGTTTAGGACACATATGCTTCAAATATCATATTTATTTTAAACTAATTTATTATTGGTTTTTTATTAGTATAATATTGGTTTGATTCTAAACTCCTTTTTCCATTATTCGAAGAAAAAATGCCAAGAAAAAAAAATATCTTTAAGTAAAATATATGGCGAACGTACATACGCTGAATGAGATAAATAATGGAGCACCCTTAGTATCTGGCAATAAACTTGGAGATTCGCCATTTAATCGATATCCATCTAGCCGAACTGAGCTTGAGAACCAAGTTACTTGTTTAAAATATGATCTAGATATTGCTTTAAGCTCAGGTATTCAGCTTGGCACTAGAAATAGTCTCCTGATAAAAAATAACGAAAGTTTTTCAAAGCGTGTATGCCAGCTTGAAGATGAGGTAAAAGAGCTCAAAAGTCAGATCATCCATAAAGATATTTCTTTCACAAAAGCTGAGAATGAGATCACTACAAAATTGAAAGAGATACAAGCTCTCCAATCGGAAGTAAAAGAGTTGGAAAGGAAGTATTTTTTAGCCCAGAAAGACTTATCAGAAATGGATTCCCTTAGACAAGAGTTGACGCAGTCAAGGCAAAACGTTGAGCTAAAGAATGTTGACTTAGATCTGAAGGAAGACGAATTAAGCGAAAAAAAGGGTGAATTAATGCGGTTGAGGGATGAATTAACCTCAACACGAATAGAATTGATAAATAATAAAGAAGAATTAATGCAGATGAGAGATAATTTGTCCTCAGTACAAAAAACATTATCCGAGAAAGAGATCCTCCTTCAAGAAGCTAATGATTGTTTAGCCGAGCAGATCCCAAAAACATCCAGCGAGTCTGAAGTGCTTGGAGACGTTAAAGGACTGGAGAAAGGTAACGAAATCACTAGCCCCGAAATTACCTTATTCCTCATTTTTTCAGCATGCAATCATCTTCATAATAGTATTACTAATCATATACATCTTGTGGTGCGTATTCTCTCGTCTACATTCATCTTACAATAAAGAAAAAAATATTCTGAACTATAAAATACCCTTAAATAGAAATCAAGGTTATGCATTTCCAATCCGATACGCAGAAGAACCAAAAGACAGGACTACCTCCTATGAAACTTTACCTTATGGATATGGATGAGGCCACAAAGCACGAATCATCCCGAATTCAATCATTTTGCCAGTCCTTTAAAGGTTTGTCCCATCTAAATCTAATTGATAAGGGGTCGTCAGGTGGTCTTCGGATATCAATAACCACGAAATGTTTTTTTATCACTTCATAAACTTTTTTTGCTAGAGACTCATAATCATCATACATATCTTTAAGAATTCGTTTTATACTATCTAATGTTCCACATCACGATGCAATGAAATGTATTTAAGATTTCCGCGTATATTTTGATGGATTTTATAGAAACGCTGGGCGATATAAATTGTACTAATTCCTTCATATCTACCTGACCTAAAGAAAGGAATAATTTTTAGCTGAGTTGCCAGAGGTTCCCCGGCAAGATCATCAAAGACTATAAGAATAAATCGGCCAGTTCTTTTAAATAATGAAATATCAGGTAGTTCTTCAGGCGTGATTAGCTTGAATCTCACATTTTCATACCATGGAGCTTGCTTATCCATGGCTATAAATTCATAAAAACATTGTACTGTTTCCCATAGCTCTTCATCTTGGTGTTGCGCAACAACAATTAGATCATCACATGGAATATACCTTTCACCAAAATTTTTGCTTCCGCCTTTTGGTATTTTATGACCACGTTTTTCACCAGACATCCATGGATATATTTTAGGATATTTACTTTCTAGGAGCAAACGTACTACCATCTTTGTCTTTCCTGACTCAGAGGTGCCCGCAACTCCTAATCTAAATGGAGGTTTAGGAGCGAATGGATTCTGTTTTTTCAAAGGTATAGTTTCGTCTAATTTGCATAGCTCGTAATACTCCATAGTTTTTGAAAAGCTAGGATACTTATTCAAGAAACATATTTTTGTTAACCGCAAGGAAAAAAGTGCCCTAGCTAATAAATAGAATCTGACTTTATAGATGCTAGCTTTTTTTCGTAATTATAAAAATTGGAATGGGAGAGCGCCAAGTCGAAAGACCGGTTATTTATATCGATCCTCAAAAAGCTCGAGACTTAGATCGGGATCTTGCTTTCCAGAAACTTTATTACAGACCTGAGGGATATTATCGGACTGCTGAAAAAATGCAAACTACTTGTAAGAGAGCCAGATATGTGTTTACTTTAGCCGTAATAAAAAATTGGCTTAACAAACAGGCTTTGTATCAGATTCACAAGCCTCGGCCTAAGTATATTCCACAAGCATCTTTTAATAATATTACCGTACCTATGGAAATTATTCAAGCTGATTTATGCTATATGCCTTATGATCGAATTGGAAATAAAACTTATAAATTTGCACTTAATTGTGTAGATATTGCTACCCGCACTAAATGGACCTATCCTTTAACTAAGCGTGATTCTGCTAGCGTGGCTAAAGGATTTGTAAAACTTTTTAACTCCCGAATATGCCCAATTATCTGGTCTAAAGTTAAAGTTTTAATGGTAGATGGGGGCGTAGAATTCCAAGGTAATGTTATCATACTAATGAATGAATATGGTATCCAAATTCAACTAGCTAATTCTAAAGAATCTATGGGTATTGTTGAGAGATTTAATCGTACACTTCAAGAATGGGCATTCTTTATTCAAGATGGTGTTGAAATGAGATTACCTCCTACTGAGCGCTGTCGAGCTTGGATAAAAAACCTTCCAATTTTTCTTATAGAGCTTGATAATTCTGTAACTCGACTTCTGGGTATTTCTCCTGCTGAAGCTCGAAAAAAAGAACATGTCTTTGCTAAACCTTCCAAACCACGAAAAGGACCTATTGGATTTGATGAGCCTAGATTATCTCATGATGTCTTAGTAAGATATCTTCTTAAACCTGGAGAATTAGAGGGTGGAAGAAAACGTGCAACTGATTGCAATTGATCTCTTCAGATTTACCATATCCGTGAATCTCTAGTGCAAAAAAATCAGCCGGTCTTATACTGGCTAATAGATGGTGAAGGCAATGGTCCAAAAAGATCTTTTGTAAGAGAGAAACTTCAAATCATACCTTCTGACACAGAATTACCACCACAATGGGTGCTTATGAATTAAATTTCCAATTTATGAAGTTTAAGTATTTCGTTAACTTCTTCTGTAGACCTTTTTTGTACAACCTCTTCTTGATTTGCAAATGAGAGATATAATTTGTATAACTTTTCTAGACTCTGATACACTTCTTCATTATACCAGTCTTTGAAATCTGCCATTCTTTCATTATAAACTTTCTCATTTGGAGCTCGTTGCTTTGCTACGTATCTGCAATGATCATCTGGATCACTTTTACGTTGCATTGTTTTTAAATAACTCACATATGTTAATCCCATTTTATCATATTTTTTCGTGCCTTGGCTATATGCTACTTTGATTACCTCAACTAATGCTGATTTAATGTCTTTATAGTTAGTCATCTTGTGTAAGTATTGAATATGGTATTTGTATTAATATAGCGAAAACTTTTGTTTAAAATAAAATATTTATTTCTTATTACTATGATAGGTGAATATTCTTGCAACTATTTACTCAGAACTGAATTTGTCTGTGGGCGGACCTGCCGTCGACCTGAAGGGTGTTATGAACATTGGAAAGCTAAAAAGCGCATTCCTTGCAAGGTTTGTGGTAAGCCGACGAGTTCTGAGCCCGGCCTTTGTAGAAAGCATGCTAACAGTTATTATGTGACCCAGTATATTAATAGGCTTCGAGATAGGGCTATGGGAGCTAGGGTACAGGAACTCAGAAATCAGATTGCTTAGGAAAATTTAAACCATCCCCTTACTTATGAGCAACTTATGAATAGACATAGAGACTGGCTTACAAAACTTAATATCTCACTCTGTCAGGAATGTTTTATCCCAATTGGAAAAGAAGAAGGTGAACATTGTAATGAGTGCGTATCTTTATAAATTTCGGGATAGGGCTATGACTACTGGACAGGAGATTTGATATACTAATCTTTTTCAAAAAAAATTACACCAAGCCCAGATACAAAGAGGTGGTAAGACTTATAGGTAAACATATCTTGTATACATGCTCTGCTCCGCAGAGTTCATGAACCTATCTTGTGTACATGCTCTGCTCCGCATCTTCGATGTTGTCACGATCGGGCTCCTGATAGGTGTAATCGTGACGTGGGTGTTCAACCAACGTCTAATGACGATATTTTACGGTTACTCGATCTCGTCGTAAACAGTATACTTCAGGATCATCACGCAGTGCGTTTTCTTCTATCTTATAGATAGGCTCTCACTATTACTAATAGATATTATGTCTACTTAGTGTGGGACAGTCCTATAGCAATACAG